CTCCCAAAATGTCAGGTGGTGCAACCTTCCAATTATATATCCAAAAAAGTAATTTAGCCATGTACAATTCTACGTTAAAATAGTTTGGCATTAATTTTATATTTGAAATCTTTAAAATCATAACATGTTGACAAATAGAGCAACTTCAACTTTTGTCCATAAATTCAGATTTCTTTAAATGTCATGTGGTACAACCGACAAGAAAGGACTTTTATTCTGACAGTTTTTTAAGAAAGAATGAGCAGAGCATTGCACCTTAAACAAGACCCCAAGTGACCTTCATGATGCAGTGCGAAGGTCAGTAATCCTTCCACAAATATAAAAAAATTGTCAGTTTTGAGTCATTGTTAGGCTTCAGTTCACCAGGTCAGGTGGTGCGACCCCAGGCATATCATGAACATGAGCTAATATTATTAGAATAATGCTTATTTATTTGCAAAAATGTGTTTAAAACTTGAGTACAGGGACAAAGATGTATACGGGTGCAAGTACAAAGACTAGTTTGTGCAAGATTTCAGTAGTGGTAAATAGCTTTAAAATACAATAGTCTTACTAGGTGAGCAGTAGTGCCAGATGACATTTTCTGGATGGTGAAATTGATGATTCTGTCTACAAATGAATTTATACCATTATAAAAGGTATGAAATAAATATTAATATATTGAATATATTTTCACAAATGCACATCATATACTTTTTAATATTTTTTTTTCAGCTTCATTTTGAAAGCCTTATTTATTGTTGATCCATTGACAGCTTCTAGTCTTCTGAATTTTTTCACCTTTCACCTAATTCAGTTCATCATAACTTCTCCTCTTCTACTTACAAACACAAACATGTTACTGATTTGACAAGTTTAGAATCTCCTAATTGTTTCAATTAGTAACAACTGAAAAATGATTCATTTCAAATTACCCCATGCTTTAATTCCCACCAACAATCACTGCGACTTCTAAGGGTTAACTTTAATTGCCTGCTTTGGAATTAAGAGTGGATATACAATAGATAATTGTACATTTGTGGCTGTGTCATGTCCTCATGACCACAGGGGAAAATTGCAGCTTGCTTTTGCTTTGACAGCAAATGACACCTATACCCTTCCCTGCTTTTAAAGAACAATTACAGCACGTTGGTGCCTCCACCCGAATTAAAAGCCTGTCTCAAGGTAGTAAAGCCTCGTCATAAATCGAGGCTTCCGTGCATAGCATGGTCATTGTCTGTGAAAAATGAGAGGTCGGTAAAAGGGCCCCTTGGTTTACTCATGGGCGTTTACATGGAAACTCCAGTCATGAAGGTTGATGAGTCATGAGGCCTAATGGCTTCATCAGTGGAAGAGGTCTGGCATGGCGGTGATCCATGATTATAGAGTGGCACATCTCCAGGGCTTTAATAAGAGGACCCAGACCCGGGAAGAGGCCCGGTTAGGTGCCCCTGCTAAGGTCTAGCATTCTGTTTGAGGTTTGACAATGAGATTTTGATGGGACTTTGGTTAGTCATGACGTTTAGCAGAATTGTTGTGAGCTTGTTTGCTGGCTGTTCTTGGCAAACAGCACTTGTTTCTAATTGTGTGCATTGATTTAGCATGTTAACATTCAGCAAAGTTTGTTGTTGCAGTGCGTCTCATAAAAGGCCTCTGCATTATAGTGGGTTTACTTTATGAACTTCTTGGTGAAAACATGGTTTATGAAACCCCTCACGCAGGTACTTCCAGAAAGCTTTTGAAGCGAAGCTACCACTAATAGAGCCTTTGCCCTACCTACTGTCATCGCAGTCAGCGATAATTAGCATGAACAACAGAGTTGACTCACAAAACAGGTCGGTTCCCCCATTGTCAAGTGTTAAGTCTATCATTTTTTGCATTACACAATAATTTCTTTGCCTCTAAGTAATAGGCCTCCTCCTTTGAGCTAATTGAAGCTGGCGCCATCCTCCTTTAGTGAGTAGTAATTTTCTCTCATTACAGCAAATGCTCGCTCATAAGAGAAGTCTCCGGAAGCCTAATACTGCGCTTATAAAAACTAAGCGATGACAGTTGTTGTCACCCTTGCCAAGCCTTTTCATTCAGTGTAATCAGCGTGACAATGTCTGTGACCTCCTGTTGGTTGTGTTTTCTGTCTGCAAAGACAATAATGCTATTATCCGAGTTTCCCTGCTTTGCATGGGGATTATTTTGGCCTTCCCTGCACGTCCCCCCCTCCCCCCTTTCCTTATTTTGAAGATTTGGGCAATTTTTGCTTGATCATTTTCACCTTTAACCCTTTTACTGGATGCCAAAAGCAACTTTGGCTCTGCTTACAGTTTCATCTTTCCTTAAAATGTCAGATCAGTCACGGGATGAGCGATGAGCACGATTAGGCGGTCCCTGTAGCTATTTTAGTTAATAGCGAATCACATTGAGAAGATAAAGAGCATGAAAGCATGAAATATAACCAGCTGTTGTATTTGGTTTGGTGGGTTTGCGGAGACGGTAAAGTTGGCCAAATGGATGTGTAAACAGTGCACGATGGAAGAAACTTGAGTTATTACACAGTCCAGCATTCCACCACTTCAAAGCTGAGCCCATAATTACAACGCTTGAGGTGTGTCCAAACATACGGACAAAAAAGCGAGCATCTCTCTCTTTCGACGTTTCCTCCCAATCTGCGGCCAAATTGTTTCCTTTCTTTTATCGAGGCCAAAGAGATTAGGCAAAGGAGGAGGATGTGTTGGTCAATTTCATAGAGGCTCGTCCTCAAGGGGCTCCGGTAATCTCACTCTTTCTCTTGCTGTGTGTCTATCACTTCTGTTCTCTCTTCTCCCTTCTCATACGTCTTCCATCGACTCCCGTGGCCCCTCAACTGTAAATGCCTCATATCTCTCACTCCAGTTGGGCAGGCTCTCTCAGCAGATCTACGGAAGAAGCTCGATTGTGCTCGACAAGGTGCCTGAGGGCAAGGGGCGTGACGGGTGAGCGTGTATGTGTATGTGTATGTGTGTGCGTGCGTGCGGGGAGGCGACTCCTCCTGAGTGGAGCCGCCAAACTGCCACAGTTTCTCCCCTGAGGAGAGGCTCCTTTCATCTCCCCGCTCACTGGCGCCTTCGCAAACCTCAGATTGTCTGTGAAATCACCCTGCTTAATAAACGCTGAGGCTCTTGGGAACGGCAGCCTCATAGAATCTCACCCTGCAGCTTTGGCTCACACACAATCACGCGAACGCACACACACAGACCAGTCCAACAGGCAGCTGATTGCTCTTTCTAACTATTCATTACAAAGAGAAGAAGGCTGAAGTTTATTTCAAGTGTGATTATCCAGATACACTAAGCGTTATAGTTACAAACAAATTCCCCTCCCCGGCACAGGACCAAAAGCAATTAGTCTCTCTTAAGTACCTTAATTACATTTACTGCTGAACGTGATGGCATAAGAGTTCACAGGTTAGGAGAGAAGCATACATTTAATCATAGACGTGTTTTCTTTCTCTCAGATAGTAAATATCTCTTTTGTTTGGAAGTGGGTTTTTTATGGGCCTGAAGAGTAAACAGCCTGAAGCACTGTTCAACAGCAAGTTAGTCATGCAGGGAACAAATGCTTCTTCTAAGGCAGGAAAATGCTGGATTTCACCAAGCAGTTGCTTGTAGTCTACACAACGAGTCTGTTGAGTGCTGACTAAAGTAATTTCAACATAAAACCAGTGGCAAAATTCATGAACCCCAGTTGCTTTGACTTACTGTTACTTGACAACTGTCTATATGATGATGTTGGATCAGTGGTGGCCATATACAAACAAAACATAGCATAGTCACTGACAGAAAAAACTTGACACGAAGCACTGAAGTTTAGTGTAGTGTTTTCGGTCTCTATGTTAGTAAACTGGGCTGCATTACTTGATAATTTTGCCTAATTCAATCACTGAGATGTAAACAAACTCATTGAGAGTGGTTTGAAGTGAAATGGTACATTGTAGAGAAACGTAACTACTCAGATATCCTAACAGTGGTGGTGATAGGATACACAAATTTACTATCCAAAATGACTAGTGGGTCTACATGTGTATTTATATGTAACATTGATAATGGCAAAAATCTGAAAAAAAAAATGTATTCTTTGAGAACTTCTTTACCTTATTACACCCTGCATGTACCTCTCTGTCATGAGTGGATTTTAAAAGCATGTTTTAAGTGAAAATGTTACCTCAAAGTGATCACAAAACAATCTCTCAGGCATCCAACAGTGTATTTCTAACCATTTCTGTGAACTTTAAATGCTTGGTAAAAAGAACTGGGCCATCTACTTCCTGTCACCACAGTTGTGAACATTTCTGATTCTGTGAGTTTCTCTAGATCAGAGCATTTCATATCAAACCACTCAGAATGACATTGTTTAAGCCTAAATCTTTACAGTTTACTTATGCAGATTTTTTTTGGAAAATGGGGTCCCGCTTAAACCTACTCTGTATTATGTTGTTGTACTAGTAGTCGGCATGTAAACACATAATGGCTATTCCAGAATTTGTTGTCAAAAATGTATAGTCACGAGTTTTCTGACTTCTGAAACTGGAGTGCAGAGTTGTGTTTTTAGTCTTTTTTCCATTGAGCAGTAGTTTGCTCCACTTTCTAGGGTACTAAACAACAAGAATGGTCAAGTTAGCCTGAGAGTAATTCTATACTAACGATTGCGCCGCTAATGGACGTGTGCTATTTTGACGTACTGTTTCGATTTTGGACGCAACCATAGACAAAATTCAGGCTAAGATTTGATGTGCAGTCAGTCACGGTAACTGCAATGCAAAACAACTGCAGTACAGTGCTGTGCTGTCGATTATGCCCCATACCTTTAGTATCACTCCGCCAAACAGGCCTCATTATTTTAACTACAGTGGTCTAATTGCAAACATTCGCGAACCAATCAAAAGCAAGGGAACGGAGCGCGCGGCGCTGGGACGCGAGTGTGGCGGCAAATTTGGCCGCATTCCTATTGGCCGAGAGTTTTTGGCGTGACGGTTCGTTGCTTGAGGGCAGTGGAGGGTCGGAGGCTACCTGTTACTTGCAGTAACAGTCAGGCTGACTTTGAAGGCGGGGAACTCTTCTGGTTTAGTTAAAGAGGGGCCGTCCATCACAGTGAGTTCTAGAGAGACAGGAAAAGAGAAGGAGCGAGGGAGAGAGAGCTGCGGAGCTGAAGAGGACGGACGGACGGACGGACGGACGGGTTGGGCCCGCAGCAGGACGATGGAGGAGCGCAAACTTCCAGTGACAAGCCATCCTTTCAGCGTGGAGTCGCTCATGGCCAGCGACAAAAGCGCCAAGGAGGGCCGTCAGAGTCCCGGGGAAGCGTCTTGGGCGACATTCGCGAAAGCTCAGCTCACGTCGTACCGAAGCGAGGACACTTGCAGTCCGGAAGAAAGTCGAAAGCACTTTATCCAAACTTCGCCGGTGAAGTCGGAATCCCCAGAGCCGGAGGACTGCGCGGCTTGGGTTATGAACTCCAGATTCTCTCAGTCACGTAAGTGAATACTGCATCATTTATGGCTTTGTGGCTTCAGAGTGGCCTGTCATTCTGTGGAATTTTGGGTGGTTCTACTTGTAAATGAAAGAGATATCAGTCTTTTCGAAAAGAGGGTCTAGGCACGCAGTACAATCTGTGAGAAGTTCGAGTAAGTAATTATCGTGTGTAGCAAAGAGAACAATGTCATTGGGCTCCATTAAAAGCAGAATACAAACTCCAAGTAGTTTCACAAGCAACAGGTCAAGTAATTAAAGGTAATTTTATACATTTTTACATGCATCTGTGACAGCTGACTGCTTGTCATGTAGCTACTAAATTTTGACATAAACATCTGCAAGTGATTTTAAAAGTGCTTCCATAACATGACGTCAAATTCACGCTTAACCTTTTTAAGTAGTTATGAAACCTCTAAATGTGATTTGAAGTGATTTACAGTGTTCTTTGGGAAATTACATTTTAGGTTCAGTTTGGACCAGCTGTACATCACATTTCAAAATTTTTCATGAGGAAATTTGTCTCCAGTACCCGAAATTTAGATGATTCATGTGCTTCAGGAAGTGTAAAGGATAAAACAAACCTGCAATATACACATTTTTATTTCCATTTTCTTTTATCTTTTTCTTGTAGTCTAAAAAGTTCATTGTCAAACTGGCAGATTAATTATAAATTATAATTTATATTAATTATATATGTATATATATTTTCTACAACAGTTGTGAATTTCAACAGTTGTTCTGTTATTCGTGCACAGAAATGAGAAGCGTGGTGCACTCACTCTTCTCGGTTACATTTTGCCAAAGTGATATAACGCGTTTGTTTTCTACAGGCCAAGTGAGTCCGCCCTGCGCCCTGCGCAAGCATAAGACCAACCGCAAGCCGCGCACCCCCTTCACCACCTCGCAGCTCCTGGCCTTGGAGCGCAAATTCCGGCAGAAGCAGTACTTGTCCATCGCTGAGCGCGCTGAATTCTCCAACTCCCTCACACTCACAGAGACACAGGTCAAGATCTGGTTCCAGAACCGGCGGGCCAAGGCCAAGCGGCTGCAGGAGGCCGAGCTGGAGAAGCTGAAGCTGGCCACTAAACCGGCGCTGCACCCAGGCTTCCCCCTGCCCCTCCCCCTCGGTACGCAGTTCCACTCGGCTGTGTCGCTCTACGGACAGTCGTACCCTTACCAGAGGCCTCTGCTGTCCGTCCCTCCTGTCGGGCTGTACGGCACGCCGCTGGCCTATGGCATGTATCACCTGGCGTGAGGGGGTGCGGCGTGGACTGTACTGTGGAAATACAGTGAATGGAAAGACAGTATGGGTGGAAAGACAGTGTTTACCTGCATGGATGCAGCCAGAAATAACAAATATAATGTGTGATGCAAAACAAATGTTTATGCACAACCCTCAAAGTGCCTGATACGGATATTCCTGATACCCTTTTCATCCACCGGTGATGCAGAGATTAATGATATCATTATTTTGGGGATGAATGCATCCATTGTCTAGTTTGTGTATATAAGTATGTATGTGAGAGTGAATGTGTGGTACAATATGTCCTTCTTATTTGCCCTAATGTAATATATTGTAATACTAATTATTTCTTTGTACACAATATTGGCTTATTGGTTCAGAGAAATTCCATTGCAACAAGTGTTGATGTAGGTCTGCTGGTTAAAAAAAATGCTCAGACGAAATCGCGCTTAATTGGAATTGATCGTCATTCTCGTTCATTTTTGTTGTACTAACAGATTTTTTTTTTTATTTTGTTCATACCTCAACATAAAAATGGTAGGATAATTGTCACAGTTGTTTTTTCAAATATAATTTAGCCACTTTGTGTGCTAAACTGCAAAACATTAACTTATTTTCCCTCCAGACTCCTACCAGTTTTGCTCACCACTCACTGTGGAAAGCCAAATGTCCAGAGATACGGCTTTGTAGCTGAAATGTGGAAGTTCTATTTTTGTATCCTGTTTTGCCTATGCATATCTTTCCTCAGATCCCTTTGAAAGGGGTCACTTTGTACAAATAATATGTAAAACAAATTCTCAAGGGTATTTTTCTTTTTTGAATGGAGAATAAACCTATTACTTGTTGTTTATTACAACATAGTTAAATACATTTCTTGTTATTTCACTCTGTGATTTACTTTGTCATGTTAAAACCATAGCTCACTTTGTCATGAGTGCACTTCATAATCTTTAACCCTAGCTTGTTGAGACAGAGCTCAGCTCTTAAATACAACATAGATCTCTACATACTCCGCTAATGTCAAGCTGTTTAGGGTCCAGCTGATTGTTTAAACATGCTCTTTGGTCCGCTGTGTGCTCCAACCACATTATGTGGCTTTGGCTTTGGTTTCGGAGTGGTGTACATTATTCAACGCTATTAGTCGAGCAATTAGCACTTCAAACAGTCTCTTGAGGAAGTCGAACGCTTACAGTTTATTACTCTTGCTTCTTTCCCGCCTCGTTCAGCCTCGTTCATCAAGCTGCGGCTCTATAAAGGTGGTGCCCTCATAAGTGGTCAGTGTGGCACCACTTACAACTTCCGGGTGACTTTGATGTAATGAGGAAATCGTTTACGGGCTGTGCTCTATTTACGAGTTTCCTTCTAATCAAAACAAGACTGCCGGGCAAGCGCCTCAGACGCGTTAGAGCCATCAGCCTAATGAAGTGCAGGTTCTGCCAGGCTGCTCGTAAGGACAGGTTTTTATAGTGCCAAGTTAGCGCAGCTTGCTAGCGAGGTGTGTCTGACTCATTTGGTAATTTATTTATATGGAAGGTGTGAATTCCAGATATGCAAGCCATGTTTTTGTTTAGCTTCCATCAGTCTATCAGGCTCAAATTGTATGCAGCTATATTATGTCAGGGGATTCATGTCTGGAATAATGAAATCCAAGAGATGAGACAAAAATCTAGGTATTAAGTGGATCATTGAGAAGTGAAACAAAGTCATTTGGAGTGGCTGGATGTGAAATGGTTCATTGCAGAGAAAATTACGGACTCTTTTGACAGTGGTGGTGATAGAAACCAGGGGTCCCAATGTATACACCACAAACATAGCCATTTTATTTATTATCCAAAATGACAAGTGAACCTACACCTATTTCCTGAGTATTTATCATATGTTCATAATGGTAAAATAGTGGTAAATCTGAAATAATCATTTTTCTTTCGGTATTAGTTTTCCTTACAATGCCCTGCATGGACCTTTCCACCATGAATCTGTTTTAAAAAATAAATTTTAGGCCAAATGCTTATCTCAATATTATCTTAAATCAATGTGAGCAATTCTGTGAGTCTGTCATTTTCTCTAGAATGGACCATTTCGCATCAAACCATTCTGAATAAATGTTTATATCTAAACAATTTAATTGTGCAGGTGTTTTGAAAACTGAATTCCCCTTTAAGGAAGATGCTCATGTATTGACTTTAACTTTTACAGACTTTTCAAAATTTCTGTATAAAATCGTTAAGATGTAAATAAAGTCATTCAGAGTGGTTTAAGATGAAACACTCTATTCTAGAAAACACTTGCTGTGTCAGAATTGTTCACAGTGGTGATGATAGGACTTGAATGTCTGATGTCTTTTAGAGTTTGTCACTAAAAGCTCCCTCACAAAAAGTTACTACATGAAATGATTGTGAACATGCTGCCTGATGCCGGAGATCTTTTTTAGTGATAAGTCTGAGATTAGCTAAATCTTAATTATTTAAGTACATTTAAATGATAAAGAGGTACCTTCAGGGCACAAAAAGGCAAAATAGTACCCCAAAATAATTTACCACTATTTTACCGTCATCAACATTACATAAAAAACCTCAGAAGACTTGTGTAGGTTCACTCTGAATGTTTGCGTTGGAGCCCTGGTTCCTATTACCACCACTGTAAAGAAATCTGAGTTGGTAAGTTTCTCTACAATGAACCATTGCACATCAATGCACACTTACATAACATAAATTGGTGGAATTCTTCTTTAATTATGTCTGAATACTGTGCTTCATTGACATTTGATACATTATCTTAAATTTTTATGATAATGGTAAACTGTGGTGAACTGTCTTTGTAACAAATTTCTACTTCATGTCATTTACATCCTCTGCTGGTCACACATAGAATAACACCCACTCATCACCACCACAGATTTCTGTTCAGGAGGTGACAATTCAATCACTTATGCCCAGTGTTGTTCATGTAGTTGATAGCAGTACTGCAATTTAGACTAGATAATTAGACTTACATCATTAGAAAAAAATGCAGTACTGTGCAAAAGTCTCAGGCACCTACACACATCTCTCACAGTATGTTTTTACTTGCAAAAACACCATATATGATTATAATAAATGCAAATTGACATAAATATAGTTCAGAAACATTTATGTTGTGAGTTAGTTTGAAGAACAAAGTCTGGTTCCAGATTTCTCCTCTGTGCCCCCAGCCATCACATGGATTTGTTAAATTCCATCACTAGCACATCCCAATTTAGCATGAAATAAAGTATTGATAAGCCAAAGCGGGTACTGGATGGTAGCTACAAATAATACCAGGCTTTTTTGAGGTGAGGTTTGGAAATGTTTAAATGAACACAATGACATACACAAAATCACTACTTACTGTATTAATGCTATTTGTATTTATTGTAATATTAGTGTTTATACGTTTCTAAATGCTTACTGCCAATTAAATAGTTTCTAAATTATACATTTCTCAGGTGCCTAAAACGTTTGCGCAGTACTGTTTAAGTCGCAGTTAGACATAGATGTAATTTAGATGCATTTAGACAAAGTCATCATAATAAGCAAGCATCTTAATTTGCAAATCAGATTTTAAATACAATTTGAACAAATCCAAATGTATAATAAATACCTACATCTCTATAAATCTGTTGGAAGTTTACCTTTACATCACCAATTGTAGTGGCATGCAGGCACATGTAAACTACTTGGATCATTGCACAGGCCCCACAAAGAGCCCAGGGTGAGGACCTCTAGTGGTCAGTTGCAGGACAGCAGGATGTCCGGATACCATAACAGCAGATAGCTTTGAAGGACAAAGCCAACTATAACAATAACTAACCAACTACAATGCAGCAAGAGGCCTGCTTACATTTACAATGCTTTCTGTACCTTCACGGCTAATATGTGGGCATCTTTTGCCCTCTTCTGGCTGGCAGGAAGAAAAATTACAAAGCAGTCATGGCAGGTTTATACTTGTTTTCTGGTAAATTTTATTCAGCAATAACTTGGTACACTGAGCACAGGCTTAATCAGAAATGGAAATCAGCAGGTGCTTCAGAACACTTAGACGTGATCTTTTATTCATCGCCCTTACCTGCCAGCTATGACACTTCAGCTCAGGAACGGAGGTGGCAGCAGTGAAAGTGTTGTGTATTCAGGTGTAAGAGACACAAGGGCAAAAGCCGTTTATTCATTTATACACAATAATGAGTTTTAGAGGCATTCTTCCAGTTCAGTGCTCAGTTTCAATGTATTTTCAATCTCCTTTTTCCCCTCTTCTATCCTTTGTAATGTGAACACAACTAAGAGAGCTGTAGCTGAGGTATAGAAAATAAACCTAGTGACCAAAAAGCCAGGATTAGCACGATAGACAACTAATAGCAGATCGGTTTCTGTCTTAGCCAAGCTTATTAATTCTCTATTTCTGTCACTCGGCTTCATTAGCCTGACGACTTGCTTAAAGGAACATGCGGTTTGGAAAATGAGGCCTTTCAAACCAGAATAGACTCGCTGCAGTGTTATTTTTTGAGTATATTCAAACTAGAGATTGTTGTGTCTAGATGCTGAGTGGAAAAAAAGAATGAATCCTGTTCTGTATTACATCTATCTGGGGTTAGTAACGTCTGAGCAGTTTGAGCATGATAGACTGCTTTTACATGCTCATCTTAAGTGAAATGCTTTGATTCAAAAGTTCATTTTAAAGCTTAGTAGTTTTTAAAGGAGAAATTTCAGGTCGGTACCGGCCCGTACTCAAAATTTCAAAAAAAGATAAAGTAGCATCGCTAATTCAAACCCATTCTGATAAGCCTAATCAAATTAACTAGAACTAGCACAAAGGCTGTGTCCAAGAACATGTCATGAATCTGACTTAGACTTTTTCTCAGGACCTTTGTCAGAAACAGTTTTAAGAACAAATGTAGGATGATATTGGAGTATGAGGCCATTCTTCTCTCCATTGTGTAGTAACAAGAGACTTGCACTACACATTAGTATACATCCTGCTAATGTAGTACTCCACAGTGTTCACTAGAAATTCCAAGTGCATTGTGAGAGAGATTGTAGTGCCCTCAAAATCACTCTGGAATTTTACAATAAAGACAAATAGCTGACAGACTTGATAGAAACCTAAAGCGCAAATAGGGATTCATTACAGTCACAAGTTGCTGCATTAGTACATACAAAACAGACAATGGACACATTAGATAACTCCTATAAGATAATATTTGTCTGGGAGCCCCTTTGGTCAGATTCTCAGGGAAAAGTGAGACAGCAAGCCTGCATCAAATTCCAAACTTGTTGTTGCCCCTAAGCAAGCTTTTTTGGTTGGCAGCTGTGAATTAGCCAGAAATAAACAGAATACAATTCAGCAACAAAATGGTCTGTGAAATGTTTTACAGACTTGCTGGAACAAAATGACATTCAGTTAATCTGGTAAATACTGATGACTAATACTTTTTTATTGGAAAGAATTTGCAGAACTGTTGTATTAAAACAATAGAACAATTGAGGTTGTGTGTTATTGTGGATAACATCAGGGCTGTGATGATCTTGATTCACTTTTGGCTTGTGTCTGCAACCAGATCACAGCTGTGACAGGACAGGCTCCCTCTCATGCTCTATTACTTAAAAGCCCAGGGAACCTAAATCCATGTTTCCCTTCCAAGTTAATCTTGCTGTTGTGGACACATTGCATGCAATGTCCTCGAAATGGCTGATGTAATTTGCCATCCTTCTCCTCTTTTGATGTAAACCGAAGAATCTTGGGTATCGTTTACGTAAGCAGTCCCTTCACCAATCACAAGGTTCATGTGGGTTGTTAAAGTGCACACAGCTTTTACAAAACCGTGTCCTTTTGTGTTAGAATGTTGGACTGAGGGATGTCAATCAGGTATGCTTATTAAAATATTAGGCCAATATAACACTTCATTTTGTCACTCATGACATGAGTATTGCATATATGTGGTTTTGAATGCAATAACACAAACGTGTGGTAGCTGAGTTAGTAACAGTAGGCTAACTAAGCCCACTGCTTCAGTCTTAGAAATGCAGCCTCGGTAATGTGCTGTGGTGAATGAGATATATTTCATGAAGATGGTAAATCATGCATCAAAACATGGCTAATGGCTCGGTCTGAAAATTCACATGACCCTACGAATTAGAGTGAGAGGACTGTGAAGATGGAAGGCTGCCAGTCTTCTGTCGCCTCATCCTCAGGCAGCTTGTGAACTACTGCCGCTTGCGTTTCTGCTAGCTGCCCGCGGCACTTCAAATCAATGCAGCTGCCACCGTCTCTCAGGGGGAGGGCACGAGTGGGGCGGAAGTGGAGGGGATGATGGGGTAGCAGCGGATGTGGCAATGGAGCTTACATAAGAAGCAGTGGCATGGTGAGAGAGCACCCATACAGGAAAAAAATACACGTCTCTTTATTTTAACAGATACATTGCGTTTCAGTCCAAATACGAATATAGTCTATATTAAGCTAAGCCATTTTTTATCTTTAATCAATTGATTGTAATCTATTCCTGGTGGAGGAAAACTTGAAGGATGTTCTAAGGCAAAATAATCCCCAAAAAATTTCTATTTCAGATTTACCACTATTTTACCATCATCAGCATTACATTAAAACATTTAGACACGTGCAGGTTCACTGGCAGTTTTGGATGGTAAATAAAATGGTCATATTTGTATTGTAGACATCAGGACCTC